AAAAGTATGGCCGTTACTAAAGTTAAGCATTACAAAATATCCGGTATTTTTGCAACGATCTGAAATGTCAATTTTTTTAATGACAACAAGTGAACACAAATTACAGGAAATGTAAAGTTTTACAATATTGTACTAAAAATGTTTTTTGCTAGTTTTAACGATGTTTGATTGTAATAAATGTGCCAAAATTAGGGGGAAATAGAAAAATTTTGCCTAAAATGGATCATGTGAATCAATAGATGGCGCTATTTAGATGTCGTTGCCAGTGTTGCCAATCGAATGATAAAACCACCCTACTTCATAAGAATTTGAAGCATAGTTCAAGGCGCAAAGTAAACCCACTAGTTTTTTGTTTAAATCTTACCACCATTTATTGTAACACAACAAAAACACATTGAATTGTTATATTTTCTTTTTATTTAATAATATTTATTCCTTTTTTTATTTTATTTAGTTTACATATACAGTAGTTTGTTTTCATGGTTTTACAAATGTCTTCTAAATTTTGGCAAAACATATTGTTTTTTATTTTCGGTATCTTAATGTTATATTTTTTCTATATGTATGCTTAAAACTGTTTTTACATATTTTAGCCTATAAATCATATATTTTGTATTCAAATAAAATACATTAATTTTACACAAGATTTACTAAAAGTAAGTCCAATCAATTGCATGGGAACCAACATATATCAATGGATTCGCTATTTAAATAATGTTTATTTGTAGGGTTATCCATAATGTGTTTAAAGTTGTTTTTTATTTATTTATTCTTTTCGACATTTCGTCCTCCGACGGAAGACACTTTGACGTTTCAAGCTCGAGCTCAACTTTATTGAACTTACATTTGAAATAATTTTAAATTAAGGTAGACTTAAAATAACTAAAGCCATATTGATATCTTGAAGAAACGCTTACTTCTTCCATAGCTGAGAAAGAAATTTTTTCTAATGCCTTTATTTAAAAATGGAATAAATAAATTTAAATAAAAATCGTATATTAAAAAAAAAAAACAATCGCAAAGTTAGAAAAAGGTGAGACACAAAAAACTGCAACAAAGTCAAACGCCATAATTTTTACATTTTTTAGCAGTTCACCACTTTTGGCCAAACGAAGCAACTTTTTTGCTTTTTAGCTCTGAGTCTATATTCTTTCTGTTGCGGCGTAAGTTCTTACACTTATTTGAATTTCAATGGCTATACCCCGAGCTCATTTTTCAATATTTGCCGAATGGAATATTGCGATATGTTCAGCTTACGAGCCATTTTTCGGCCACTGCGACGCGGGTTTCGATCAAGTCGCTTCTTTACTTTTCGAACCATTTCTGCTGATATTGCTGTTTTCTTCCGTCCACTTCCTTGACGTCGCGCTACCAGTATCAATCACATTTAAATGCTGGAGAGCTCTAACGATAGCCACTTGTGGTTTTCCAACCAAATATAAAGAAATCAAGTAATCACTCTTGAATTACATCGCGAATAATTTTTTTTCTGGAAAACTCTGACGAAAATGCTTTTGTACGCTTGTAAACAATATAATGAGCTGTCACTGGAATAATTTTAACAGCTGTCGGACGAGTGGCTTAGAAATGATAGCAATCTGAAGTTGGTTGGTGGATTCTCGGCTTAAATACCCGATCGCCAATTATCCTTAGACTGACGATGCAATGTTTGGCGCCTCTAAAATAGCTAAACTCCTGTACTTGGCCTCATATAAAGAGGGATGTTCTAACGCTGGGATGTTATGCGACCACGTGCCCATCAGTGTTGCGGTTTGCAGTAAAAGTGCCGACTGTATTCTAACGGAGCTTCGTTGATACGTGGGCGCCTCAACAAATATCAGGTTTAGTTACCTAGTCCTTACCGCATGAATCCTATGCTGTGGTCGACCTCAGTCCCTTCACGACGAACGTGACATATGGAAGATAAAGTAATAAACATTGAAGTGCCGCTGACCTTTCCCGACACTAAGACCACCAAACCAGGGAGATGAGGGATAAAAGCGCATATCACCAAGCAGAAAACTACTTTAGTCGATATGTCGATGTGGATTCAGCTCACTGATAAGGATCTGCAGCTTATCAAGACGAACCTGAAGTTCATTAAGAAGTTAGAGAAGACATATGTAGCGTTACATTAAGGAATAAGCCGATAAGCAGGATTCCCACATGCAGAACAGAGGTGAAAGCAGTCGAGACAACAAAGAAGGCAAAGACTACGGGTAACCCCTTCTCATCTAGAAATGTGGCTGGTACAAAGAAGTCTTCAACAAAGGCCTCTGATGTGCCAAAGCCGGATGTACCGCCCTCCAAATCAAGGGAAGTTGAGGCTGAGGTTACATCTCCGTAATCGCAGACCAATAAAAGAGGAAATCGAAGCCATATACTTCCTATTGTTCCTCAAAGAGTTAAGCGGAAAAACAGGTCAAATGACCCCATCGGACCATAAACCGGACAGTCACAGATGAATAATAGTGGCATTGCAAATGATACAATTTGTCTTATTGGTGTAGCCAACTTGGCTAAAATTATTATTCTGATTTTTCATGCAAGGATCCAATCAGCGTTGTAAGCCCTAAGACACAAGGCTTTTTACAAAATATGGTGTATTGGCTCATGAGGGATGTCCAATAGAAAAAAAAACCATAAAAATACAAAAAAACATATAATCCCTCGGATTGACTCTGCGAGCTCATCCGCCGGAGAATGTGGTGAAACAGCAGGTGGACTGGTAAGAGTCAAACAGTGCAAAGGCTACAGCGAGTAGGCATAAATATATCTTAGCTACTGCTACGTTCTTAATCTCGCTGAAGGAAGCCAAATCGAAGGGGGTCAAGTTACAAAGGCTTCGACGAAATCGGTAAAATTTATTTAAATCACTGTCAGTACATACCTGAAGCCATAAATAACATGTTCTTTGTAGATCCACATTAAACTAGTAATTTTTTGAGAGGGCGTTATAGATTCGCAGAAATACTTTGCATTTTGACATTAATCTCCCAACATGTCAACTCCAAGAGCATTATAAATACTTGACAACGTATGTTTATCCTTAAAGTTGTTTGGACGGTTTTCAATATCCAAATTTGCGACTCGATATTGCATTTCTATTCCGAATTGTTCTCACAATCATTGTTTATTAATACATTTAAAATTTTCTTCTGAAGTGTAAGAATAAATCAATGAAGGCAAAGATTCTTAGAACTTGAAGTCATTATAATTGTTCAATTTATATTAAAAACAAGTAAGCAAAGGCTACAGTCGAGCGGGGCCGACCGTTGAATACCCTACAACACTATAATAAACGATACAGTTTATATAGGCGAGATACTCGAAAGAATTCCACAAGATATTGTGACAAATAATAAAAGAAAACCATCAGGTTTCGTTCTCTAATTTTCGAATAATAGCAACTTAAACGAATTTGCTCATTTTCAATTTATTGGTAGATGTTGCACTTAAACCAATATTTCCCAAAGACCTATAATCTCTCCGAAGTGGCAAATGATTAACATTTATTATTGGTTTTTGACTGAAACGCATCTATATGAGATACAGACATTTGACTATATTTTTCAACGAAATCAGCGTTAACGAAATAGTCAGAAGTGCGTCTTTCCTTTATTTCTGAATTCTCCAAAAAGTCACTGGAATGGTCATTTTCGTATTTTGTCTACAAAAGTTGGCAAACCATTTCACACATTGAATATTTTTGGATGGCCATCCAAAACTGCTTGGTTTTTGCAATGTCCGGTAACCTCCATTCAAATGTGCGTGAGGGTCGGGCGATAATTACGACCTGCTGACAATTTTGCAGTTTTTTGGTCCATTTCTACCCCTAAATATATGTCGATCATCTCCAAAAAGAGTAGGCTTCTATTCTGACCCTCATCTTATTCCCATGCAAAATTTCGTAAGGATCGGGCCATAAATGCGATCTGTATATGATATCATGATACCCTAACTACTTAGTTTTGTTAGCTGTAGAAATATTACCAAATGTTTAATTCAAAATTAAAATATGCCAAAAATATGACAAAATTTAAAAAATATGAGAAAATTTTACAAAATCAATATTTTCATCTTTAGAGAGATATTTTTATGCGATTTTTTTAGACGTTTTTTCTTTCTTGCCAAGAGGCAATTCTGAATTAATGAGAACTGTCGAAATCAGTTCAGCCGTTCTCGACATATAAGAGATCTTTCAAGCATATCTTCTTTGATAGACATATATATCGCACATATTTTGCTATATATCCGATTTGATGGATGTTAACATCAATGTAAAGGTCAGAAGTAACCTTGTCATGGCTTTGTGAGTTCGCCGGGATTTAATATATTCGCGGTTTAATGAAAAATTTTGCATTTTTTCAACACAAAAGATATGGTCTATTTTTCCCTCTAAATATTATCCGATGACCACCCAAATTAGTAGGCTTCTTCCCCGCCCTAAACTCTAGCTACATGCCAAATTCCGTGTCGATCGGTCTATAACTGCGACCTGTAGAGCAACTGGAAAATCAAGAAATTTTTCAGTATTTGGTCCATTTCAACCCCTAAATATTATGCGATCATCTCCAAAAGAAATAGGGTTCTATTCTGACCCTAGCCCCACCTCCATTCCAAATTTCGTGAAGATCGGGCCATAATTGCGACCTGTAGAGTGATTACAAATTAACATGGACAGACGGACAGACGGACAGACGGACAGACGGACGGACGGACATACATAGCTAGATCGACTCAGCTCGGCGAGCTAGGAAGATCCATATATACTTTCCTATGTGGGAAACCAATATTTCGAGGTGTTACATAATTTTTGGCCCAATCAAACTTATAATACCCCCAACACATAGTGTTGTAGGGTATAAACACATGACTTACAAATTACAATCATTTTAGAAAATTGAATCCAAGGATATAATACTAGTTTCCCTGTACTCTTTTAACATATATTTCACTAATAAAATAATCTAGTTTGAAAACAAAAAAATATATGCATGTATATTTTCATAAGAGCACACAAAAATTGTACCATCTTTATTCTTACAATATGTTATTTAGAAAAAAGAAACTTAGTTTTTATTTATATATAAAAAATTATGTTATTTAGATATCAGTAAAAAACAATAATTACAACTAGAACAAATTTTTAATTATAATAATAAATCAAACAGATAGGGGGAAATTGTTTGTTAAAGCAGATACAGTTAGTTTACCACAATAGAACTTGGAAATTTCTTAAAGAAACTAGACAGAGTTATTTTTTTTATCAATTAACGTTACATGTATAATGCGCTTTGGTAGTGATTTGATGGTATAAAGGCGCTGTCTTTCTAGTTTCAATTTCTAGTTTAAAAAACTAGTTTAGTTTAAATCTAAACGCAAGTACATCATTAATTTACATTTACACTTTTCTTTTGTATACATTTATGTTTGTTAATATATAATTCGATGAACTTTTTTCTTTTTCTCAAAGATGTTCTATTCACTTCTTTTTATAAATTAACAAAAAAAAATTATTTTTATATGTTTCCTTTTATATGTTTTAACAAATAACTCACATGAGTTTGTTGTCAGCATTATCGGTGTTTCTTTGTTTGTTGATTTTGATTTACAGAGGTGTTAATTATTATTTTTTTAATATCTTATAGCTAGAAATCTTTTATATAAAATTAAGATTACTTGTATTTGTTTAATTTTCATATTTGTTTAGTGTTTGTTTTTGTTTACATATGTTGTTACTAAATAATATATAAATAGAAAATTATTATTATTGATTTAACTATAAACTACTATCGCAGTCCATTTGTTGTTGAGTTTGTCATTTCTTTTTGATACGCTGAACAATCCATTCCAGACCTTGATAGAGACTATGAAGAAAGGAATAAATAATTATTATTGTATGTAAATAACGAGCTATGAGATCAAAAACAATAGCAGGAAATAAACAAATCAAAACAGAAATCTATCGCAATAAAAAAAACGTAAAATTTTGTACTGACTGTGTACCGATGTGAATGATATGCAATCTTATCAAAATTTGATTTGAATTTCTTTAGATACGAAAAAACATTACCAGTTATTATGGATGTTGTATTTTTTTATTTTGAGTAGAATATGGTATAGCCTGTACCCCCCCCAGTTTGAACAACGCAAAATTAAATCGGACAAGAAATAGCACTCCACGTGCATTAGAAATTCTCAATTAAAAATTAAACTTAAAAATTATGCCAATGACTAAAAGCTGTAAAATAACAAAAATTTAACTTCATTTCATTCCACTTAAAATGAAAACAATATCATCCGAATGTATGATATGATGATGATATTGTTTCACACGCTTATGGGGCTATATACTCCCTCTTCATGAAATTTTTCATAGACAAATCGTCAAGTGTCTGTCCTATGTTGTCAATAAGCACACGAATAGCGTAAGCCTTATCCCTCAAGTAAAAAGTAGGGTGTTAAATTCCAAGATGGTGGTGCCCAATTCTGATAACTTCTTCGAGAGATAAAAGGGTGCGGAAACTGATGGCGTGCCAATTACCGTTTTGAAAGTCAACGTTGTCCTGATTAATAGCATCCAAATCCTGACTTATAACATCCATCTACAATCGACCGCAAAAATCACTGAAAACAATGGACATTGATCGAAAATCTGGAGAACTAGGATTATACAGACGAAATATGACTATTATCAACGAAACACTGCGATATGCGGTCAACACACTAAGGCACTACATAATTTCGTGAAGAAATGATTGCAAACGAAGACGGAACAGAAGTCGACAAACGGGCCTCTCTATCAACTACGAGTCATCTGGAACTCTTCAAATCGAATGTTTTATCCGCTTTACTTAAGGTATGCGAAACCTTGTTGGCAACAGCAGCTTCAAAGGCAAAACGTCAGTCCATTTACAAATCGATGTTCCTCAAAGAGTTAAGCGGAAAAACAGGACAAATGACGCCATCGGACTATATATACCGCACAGTCACAGATGAAGAATTGTGACATTCCAAATGTTACAATTTGGCTTGTTGACGTAGCCACCTTGGCGAAAAATATCCTTATCAGTCAAGATGATCCTCGGAGTCAACCACTATCCATTGTAGCCAAAAAAAAAACGTCGTCTGTCTGGACAACAAACCAGGGTAGTTTTTGATCAACTACTTTCAGGATCATGTAGCCGTCTCAATTCTTATTGTCGTATATTGACGCTGCATATTTTTAATTGCCCTACCATAACCACCGAACTTACTTTAGAGGATATATGGCCACAGCCCATTAAAGTAGCTGACTTTCTAAACGTGGACATCGAAGCAGAGCCAGACTAGCAGTCCATAATCAGTAATATATCTTACTGCCACAACAAGAACAACAACTTCTACCGAACATGTAACAGATGGTGATTCGGATGTCTCTGTCTGCTAGGGTGTTACAGATGGAGCCATGGGAATCACCATCTGTTGGATAGGCAACTTCCTCCCAATCACGTAAGGAAAGACCTTCATGATGTATATATAGAGAGAGAGAGGGGTATAAGAGAGAGTCTCTAGATCAACAGGTATATCAAGCGAGATTGAATAGTATTCGCTCTAACGCGGTCTCAGAAGTCATGGAAGGATATATAGAGAATACCATCCCCCTACCATCGCAGCTGAAGAGCGAGAGCTGCCCGAACAAACCAGAGTAGTTTCGGCTCAGTTAATATCCGGATCCGCCTCAATTCCTATTGGACCGGATCGACAGCGATGTGCAGAACATCTTCCTAGCTTGTGGCACAGGTCCACATGACACGCTGCACCTATTTCGCCGTCCAGCAAACCTACTCACCTAACTCCAGTCTCCTTGTGGGCCCAACCCGTACAGGTTGCATACTTTTTCACTAGAGTTAGAGGAAGGATCCGATTGAAAGGATTCAGAAAGAACACAGCGTTATGAGCTGCTACAACAACAACTTCTACGGAAACACCGTGGTATTAAAAATAAAAGCTCTTATTATAAAAACCCGCATTTTTAGTTCGGAGCCGGTACTAGCTATTCTCGTAAAGATATTAAATGTTTTTCAACATTTGAGAGCTGGTCGTAATTTAAAGTCTCTTATGGGGAAAAACTTAACTTCGATTTGACTGCTTTCAAAATAACTTCGGCCAACATTTTAGTCCCGTAGCCGATCATGGGTTGACTATTTATTAAATCTATTCACATATCTATAGTGTGTCTATATCTGGCATTTTGGACCAAAATGCCAATATCTCCGTACATAGCACATTTAGTTCCGTCCAAAAATTACCCATCAAAATTGGGAATGTTAAACTTGGAAGAATTTTCATCAGTTAACCAATTTTTGTCTACAGCAAATTCTCTGGAAAGCCGATTATTTGGTATAGCTCTTTTATAATTGTGACATTCTAGTGATTTTTAAGATTGCAGTAACCTTTTCCAACTATTTAAGGTTCTCACAAGATTATCTACTGTTCATAGCAAATTTTCAGTATAGTACTTGTCATTTTATTTATGTTGTCTATGTTTTTGACATGAAACTTACCCTTCACCAGTTAACGCACAACACGCCTGTATGTGCCATTGATGTTTTTTAATCGATGTTAAATCCAATTGACGTGATATTTCTGCCGCTGACATTGATCCTTTTAAATCCTAATCAATTACAAGATACAATTTTATTATTATCCATGCAAAGAAACTATCTCACATTAACAATTCTACTAACCTGTTTATTTGCATATACCAATAAACTGGCTTTACTTAAGTCTTCATGCTGCAGCATGCGGTACAACTCTTCACGTGTCACAGCCAAACGCTCACGATCCGTTGAATCGATAACCATGATAATAAACTGTAGCAATTGGGGCAGCACGCAATAAAAGAAAATAAAGTAAAGAAATATTAAGTATTGTTTTCGTAAAAGCGTATGCCTGTCATTGAGTCCAATGAAAGAGGGTGTGGGGGCTTTGTCGCTCTTACCTCTGTATTTGTATAATATGTACTCCATGCCGCTCTTAAACTCTGCTGTCCTCCCAAATCCCAGACAAGAAAATGTATATTCCGCCAAACAACTTCTTCGACATTTGATCCTATTGTGGGTGACGTATGGACGACTTCATTCATAAGAAATTGATAGAGTATTGTGGTTTTGCCAGCATTATCTAGACCAACCATAACTAGTTTATGTTCTGCAAAGGAGGAAAACGAACGAAAGAAAGAAATTCAAAGAAAAAAATCTAATTAGAATGTTATAATTAAGAAAGTTAATTAGCAGAATGTTAATTGAATTTATCAATAAATAGAAGTAGGCGCATTTAGGTTTTTGTAGAGAAATCATATTCAATGTTGAAAATAAATACTAAGTTGAACTTCTCTATAAAGTAGCAGTTGGAAGGAGCGACGAAATACTACAATATATAGAGACAGAAAATTCGACAAGAAAAATTCGTTGTAGAGAAATATTTGCAGAAGGAAAATCCAACTCTAGAGGGTGAGACGAAAAAACTGCAACCATCTTCAGACTGCTTTCATTTCTAAGCCACTCGTCCGACAGCTGTTTAAATTATTCCAGTGACAGCTCATTATATTGTTTACAAGCGTAAAAAAGCATTTGGGTGAAAATTTTCCAGAAAAAAAATTATTCGCGATGGAATTCAAGCGTGATTGTGTGATTTCTTTATATTTGGTTGGAAAACCACAAGTGGCTATCGTTAGAGCACTCCAGCATTTAAATGTGACTAAATTTTTGTGTCTCGTACCATCGAAGTGGTCGGAAGAAAACAGAAACAGCAGAAATGGTTCGAAAAGTAAAGACGCGAATTGATCGAAACCCGCGTCACAGTGATAATGGTGTGAGCCGCCATAACAGCCGATGGTCGCTCTCCGCTCATATTAATCGACCGTGGCATCAGAATATATGCCGAATATTATCGCGAAAATATTATGTAGGGTGTATTAAAGCCTTGGGCACGCAAACATTTTGGACGCAGACCTTGGACATTCCAACAGGACTCAGAACCATCGCACTCAGCACGCGCCACACAAGAATGGTTACAAAATGAGGTTGCTCACTTCATTTTTAGCGCAAAATGGCCACCAAAATCTCCGGATACCAATCCGCTGGACTATTGTGTCTGAAGTATTTTGGAAAGCAAGGTTGGCATTAAAAAATACCAAAGTGTCGATCACCTCAAGCAAGCGCTTTGCCGGGAATGGGCCAAAATACGGCAGAGCAACATTTGGGCAGCGTGTGACGATTTCATTGGCCGTTTAAAGGCCATAATTCGTGCCAAAGGTGACCAATTCGAACCAGTCTAAACTTATTTTAGAAGTTGATGCTGTTTCCGGCATTTTTTGCTTTCATTCAATAAAATTAAAAAAAAATGTAAAATTTATGGCGTTTACATTTATACTTGAGAAGAAAAAATTCCAAGTCTATTTAATCATGTACGTGTGTCTATCTACTAAAATCAGAGCTCAAAATGTTCTCTCGAATTCGAGTAGAGTAAAACTCGCTCAAATTCGAATGAAAGTACTCCTGAGAGTAAAAAAAGAAATGGAGTACACTCTATTTTTCTATGCCACTCGAATAAGATTGAGTATGTTTTGAGTTATTCGAATTCGCTCGAAGTCGAGCACATTCTATTTTTGCCGAGTACCTTTTTTAGTTTTTGTCATGCCGCTCGCATATAAAAGTAAGAATGTAGTATTTTTGGCTCGTGACGTGCAGAAGACTATCTTATAATATTTTTACAAAATTTTGAGAAATATATTGGCATTTCCCCCACAATGGGTCAACATTTTGAATAATTGCTCATATCGTAATAATTGCATAGGGTTTTCCAACAAGAGCTGTTATTCTAAGATACCCGGCATTTCTGCAGATGCCACTTTAAAGTATCCATTACTATCCATGATCCGGAACTCCATCCAAAAATCATATTGACTGATCTATGGCTCAGAAATCCCAAAAGTTATTGTTGAGAGCCCTCATCATATTTTACTTGAGCCAGTTTGATTCGGTTTATGGTCCAAACCTAAGGCCTTGGATGCCTTCGCAAATTTCAAACTCTATATCTATAGTATTTTTACTAGTCTTTCAGACAAAAATGGCCAAATAAACGTTGAACTTTACGCCGATTATTAATAAAATAATGAGGTCTCCGACGAATTTTTCGAGGGATTTCTGACGGAATATAAAATTTAATAAAATCCACATTTTATGGTGGTGGTACAAAAAAATTTCACCCAATGGCTTATATTTTTACACCCACACTTCAACCATAATCACGCTTGGAGATATAAAAATTCAAGCAGAAATTTGGAGTGATAACATGAATAACATTTTATAACAGAGTCATATTTCTCATTTTTAATGATAAGATAAACCATAAAATGACAAAAATCTTGAAGAAATATTTCATTACTCTCAAAAATGAATACGGGAGCACTCCAAATAACTAAAAAGTACTTCAAAAGAACAACACAATAAATACAGCAAAAAAAAATGTGTTCAATTAAATATCTTCCCACAACAATACATTGTATGCATTGCCCATAAGAAAAGCAATAAATATTGCATGCACATGTTAAAAGGGCATAGCCCTTGGCCCCCTCATCATCCCTGCGTTGCAAAGTGCAATTCCAAGCAAAACCAATTAACCCGCATTTGTAGACATGACAAAAAAAATACAGAAATGTTGAATGAATTTATGACGATCTCAAATTAACATGACAAATGTGAGCTAAGAAGCCTACATATAAACATTGTAAATAACCGTGTGTGTTTATGTGGGATGGTGGTGATGCTTCGACGACATTGCTGACATTGACTGAGCCATGTAGACGCGCCGGTCGGTTCACAGTGTGTTGACGACCGTACCGGAGAGATTAAAAGATTAATTATTATAAACATAGTTGGATCATATGTTGTCACTTGCAACGACAACGAGTGGTTCATGGTAGGGTGTGTTTTAAAGGAATGATTCTTTTTTTCGTAGACAAATTTTACTAGAGAATGTTACTAGCAAGTGCCTGCTACCTCATCAGCGAAAAACCTATCTTTAAATTTTAAATTCGTTCCAACAGTTCGTATCAGACTGGTTTAGTAATGAAAATTCGCATTTTGCTAAGTTCGACAGAACTTCATAAATCGTACTAAATTTTCCGACTTTCGAGGTTTTACATATTATTCAAGCTTCTTCTTTTTCGGAAAGAATAATAGGAATATGTTTACCTTTTACACCAAAAAGTCTTCAAAAGCTTTAATTTTGAAGTTTTAAAAAACCATTGCACAATAACAAAAATATCAAATTTTTCTCTCCAAGACTATTTCAACGTCTCCGTATTTAAAAAGCAAACAGCTCAATCCCTGCACTCAGTACCAAATTTATTCGCATATCCAAAACAATTTACATCCTTCTATCCAACAGCGATCCAAAATTAATACCATTTAGTACATTCGAACAATTATAGTGAGCATTTCCAAAACAAACTCCATATCTCAATCCCAGATACCAACAGAGACCAAAATGTCAAATTTCTGGATTCTAGTTCTATATATTCTTCACTCAATACTAAATTTAGTAACATTAAATTCTTTTCATATAATTCAATATCTCAATACTAGGCACGAACACATCACACAAAACAATCTCCATATCTCAACCTCAATTACCAACAGTAACCTTAATATCAAATTTCAAGATTTTGTTCTATTATAGTACGTATATCCAACTCCAGCTCCTTCTATTAACCACAGGCGCAAACAGTAACACCCAATCAAATTTCAGGATTCCAGCTATATTTTTTCCATTTAGTACTTTTCGTACAAATAGGGTAAGTGTACCAGTAGTCGGCACTTTTAGGATTTTCGCGTTTGTAATCGCTCACCATTCTGAGTGGAACTTTTCAATCATTACAAAGTTAATTTATTCAGATTTGAAATTTTGTATAGTTTTTGCAATAATAAATAAAGTTTTAATAACCTTTTATTAAATTTCATAAATTTGTAGTTTTATTAAAACAATGCTTTTTTGCCAGTAGTCGGCACCACTTGCCAATTGTCTGTATGGCATGTTGCAACAGTCGGCATACCAATTTTTTTGTAAGAATAATTAATGATAATAATAAATTAATTCATAAAAATATAATATTTTTGTTTAGTTAAACTGATTCGACGTCTTTACTGTACTTCTCTTAAGAATATGGATTGTTGAGGACTTTCACATACAGAAATTTAATTTTTATTAGAATAAATCATCTTTTCTTAGCGAAATTGTACACAAAGATAGCTGACAATATATTTGAAGTAAACAAAATATATTTAGTTATAAAAGTTTCATTTATTTGGGCTTAAAAATAAAAAGTGCCGACTACTGGGACATGCCGAACTTAGGCACACTTACCCTATAGGACGCATTTCCAAACAACCGTCAAATCTCAAACAGATATACCATCAGTAATCTAAATGTCAAATTTCAGAATTTTATCCCTATGCCTTCACCCAATAACAAATTTAGTACCATTCGGTGCTTTTCGTACAGTTATAGTACATATTACCAAACCACCGCCAAATATCATACACAGATACCATCAGGAATCTATATTCCAAATTTAAGGATTTCAGTTCTTTTCCTTCACCAATACTAAAATGAGTACTATTTAGTACTTGTCGTACTATTATAGTACACATTCCCAAAATCAGCTCAATATCTCAATTTTCAACAGAGATACCAATATCACATTTTAGATTCTATCCTTCACCCAATGCCCAATTTAGTACTATTTAGTACTTTTCGAACAATTATAGTATATATTTCGAAAACCATGTCCATATATTAAGCACATACAAAACAAGTAAGCAAAGGCTACAGTCGAGCGGGGCCGACCGTTGAATACCCTACAACACTATAATAAACGATACAGTTTATATAGGCGAGATACTCGAAAGAATTCCACAAGATATTGTGACAAATAATAAAAGAAAACCATCAGGTTTCGTTCTCTAATTTTCGAATAATAGCAACTTAAACGAATTTGCTCATTTTCAATTTATTGGTAGATGTTGCACTTAAACCAATATTTCCCAAAGACCTATAATCTCTCCGAAGTGGCAAATGATTAACATTTATTATTGGTTTTTGACTGAAACGCATCTATATGAGATACAGACATTTGACTATATTTT